GAGTTGAAATGGTTCGCGACTGGGAGGTGCAGTTGTTTATTGCGGAGACTCGGGGACCGCTTTGCAGAACACCTACGCTCGGTTCGGAGACTCGGGGACCGCTTTGCAGAACACCTACGCTCCGTTCGCAATAAACAATAAACAATAAACAATAAACAATAAACACCTTTCGGGCCTCGACCCTTCTTCAGAAACCCGAAACATCAGCCTTCCTGCTCCTCTGATGCTGCTTGGCCTGCTGTGTTCATCCAGCTCTATACCTTGTTATCCCATGATGGTTTACATTGTTTTGTGAGGTGTTCTTTCTTTCTTGTAATCTATCAGCAAAGGGATGTGAAGTTCTGGTTATTTACTGATAATGAAAGAGCTGCATGAAATCCTTCAGGATAGCAAACTCTACACAGTCACCAGCTCTCATTTCCAGTAAACAAGCAGCTTAATACTGTAATTAAATGGAGAAAAACGTTTGGGTTTTTTTTCCATTGCACATACTTTTCATTTAACTTCTGAGTTGGTGAGCCTAAATCATAGTAGATTTTTTTCATATTAGTAATCTGCACGCTCTTCAATTCTATTGATGATATTTTGTGATGAAATCTTGCCTTGGATCTGTAGGTGAAGATGCTACAACTCCCCTGACATCAACTCCATGTATCGTGACAAATGGTATGCTGAACAACCATCATAGCAGCTTGGTATTGGGGGAGCTGAGTGATGAGGACAAAGATCTTCTAACAAGCAGTAAGAAAATCTTCTTACCTTCTGTTCTTCTAGAACTAGACAACTGTATATAATCCACAAGGGACCAAAGCTACTGGGGGAAAGGCTGAGTGAGTTTTAGGATGGACTAACTTGTGGCTCCAGTGTGCACAATTATCCCGGCCAGATCCTTCCATATTTCCACCACTTTTCTTGCTTTCCAAAGTTTCTCCAAAAGAAAATCTCTTTGACCATGACTACAGACTGCTCACAAATGGCTTTCCAGTGCTTTTATTATTTGCTCTTTGCTCCTAATCCTGAATAACTGAGATGTTTTCCTGTGCAAGAGGTTACTTGAAATCTAATTTTTTTTTTCTTCTCCTTTTCTTCTTTATCTCTTTATCAGTGGGGCCAACAACTAATGTTCAGATAACATTTGCAAAACATTCTCTTGTCCTTCCCTCTACATAATAATTCAGATTTGGCAGCTACCTATCTGGTTCATACATTTGTTTTGTGTTAGGATACTAAAATACTGCATTTTAAATATCTTGTGTCGTACTTTTCCCTCTTCTCCAATTCTAACCAAATTGTAATCAATGGCTTAATGTTGGTACAGTGTGTTAAAGAATAATTGTCCTGGATTCAAGTTTCTACGAAGATTGATATTGATCTATGATACATGAACCCTGGCTTAAAGAAAGGCCTGCTCATTTTGCTGCTGTTAAATCCCAGACCCTTCGCATAAGCACATGTATCTTTTGGCTCTCAGCATCCTTTCTTAATGCTCACGCACTTCAGTATCTTTTTGGAGGCTGCCAGGCTCTGTCTGCTTCACGTTGCTTTTTTAGTGCAGACTGAGTTTCACACTGAGCTACAGTCTGTTGCCTCTGTGGTTTGGCTTGCTTTTAAATGCAAAGGGAAAGGTAGGCAGTGGGAACATTGAGCAGACAATCAGTCAGTTAGACAGTGGGTGGACATGTCGCTGTGCAGCACGGTATTACATCATTGTCAGATCTAACACACACACCAGCAATTTAAGCAGCAAACACTCTTCAAACACGCTTCAAGCAAATGGCAATGCATGAACGACAAAGTGGAGCAGTCTTGAATGGGGTGAAGATGGACTAAAGTCACTTGGCACCACCACAATCAGTCAAGGGGCAAGTCTGATTACACTGCAGGGGGCTGGCCACAGTGTACATAGAACAGTACAGCACAGTACAGGCCCTTCGACCCAAATTTTACCCTAAACCTAAGGTCTATCTAACCTCCACCCCTACCTTATACTGTCATCCACATGCCTACCTAATAGCCGCTTAAATGCCCCTAATGAGGCCGACTCCACTACCCTCTCTGGCAATGCATTCCACGCCCCTACCACTCTCTGAATAAAGAACCTACCTCTGACGTCTCCCCAATATCTACCTCCACTCACTGTAAAACTATGCCCCCTTGTAATAGCTACCTCCACCCTAGGAAAAAGTCTCTGGCTGTCCACTCCATCTATACCTCTGATCATCTTGTACACCTCTATCAAGTCACCTCTCATCCTTCATCATTCTAAAGAGAAAAGCCCTAGCTCTCTCAATCTTTCCTCATAAGACCTTCTCTCCATTCCTGGCAACATCCTGGTAAATCTCCTCTGCACCTTTTCCAAAGCTTACACATCTTTCCTGTAATGAGGCGACCAGAACTGGACACAATACTCCAGATGTGGCCGAACCAGGGCTTTGTATAGCTGGAGCATAACTTCACAGCTGTTGAACTCAATCCCTCTATTAATGAAAGCTAACATACCATACATCTTCTTAACAACTCTATCCACCTGCGTGTAGTCCTTGGGTCAACTGCATGCAGTCCAGGGAGTATGTGTTGGCCATTTTAGGATGCAGTCGACGCACCAATTCAGAGGGTGGACCAGATTTTCCTGCAATGAGGCGAAGAGAGACATTGAATGCGATAGAATTGGATGCAAAAGCAGTTGGTGGTGATGCTTGAGTAGGAGACATGCCCCCATTGAATGAGTAGAAAGTGCAGAGGGCATGAAGAGTCAGTGTGGGAGGATGAGGTGTGTGCAATCCCTTGAAAGGACATGATGCACGCAATACTGAAAGTTGGAGCCTTAGCGTGATACGTGTGCAGTGGCAGAGTTAGAGTGAGCACTAGCTCTGTGAACGTGAGGTAGCAAAGAGAAAATGTTGACATTTAATCTTATGGAGGGCAGAAGATCATTGACTTTGTGGTGCTGTAGGCGTCCCTCTGGAATCGAGACACAGCACTGACCCAGGACACAGCACTGACCCAGGCCACACTTTGTGTGGGGCAGCTGGGTCTATTGATGTGGCCTCCTGTCCGTGTCAATAGGAGAAGGGGCTACCCTCCTCATTCTATCCACCAGGATCTCCAGATCTCTATCCTGGAAACACTGGCCTGTCTTGCCTTTCCTCTGACATGTTTTCAGGGTCAACAACCACATTTTGAGGGGTAGATCCTGGCTTGTAAAACCTGAAGTGGTGTGCAAGTGGGCTTTTAATAAGGCACCAGAAGAGTGTAAACCGGAAAGTCTCTCCAATGGTGAGCGGTGAACAGCACTTCTGGCTTGCTCTCTAAAAGATTTCCACCAGAAATGCACCCAGCACTTCAGTTGCTTAATTCTTGAGATGAAAAAGTGGTGGATCATGAGAAAATTTTCCCTGGGCCACCATAGGCTGAATACCAGGAAACTCCCTCACCACTGCACATTAACTGCAAACGGGAAAATTCAACCCAATAAATAAATGTGGATTTGTTTCCCCTGCAAATGAATGTGTAAAAATGTGCAGATTAATGCATTAAACTGTAAAATCGTGTTGAAAACACAAAATGCTGGAGATCACAGCCAGTCAAGCAGCATCCTTGGAGAGAGAACAAGTTAACATTTCAAATCTAGATGACTTTTCACCAGATCTGATGAAGAGTCATCTAGACTCGAAACATTAGCTTGCTCTCTCGTCACGGATGCTGCCTGACCTGCTGTGATTTACAACATTTTTTTTTTTGTTTTCAGTACAAATTCCAGCATCTGCACTAATTTGCTCCACTATAAAATTGTGCTACTGGATGAAATACACAATAATAAAGTCATTTATTGATTTTTTTAAAATTAGCTATGTGATTTTGGTGCTGACTTTAATAGTTTTATGAATAGAGTTTCTACCTTTGCCATGGATATGAATTTAAACCTGAGGTGGAGTAGAGAGCAAAATCTTTGAATAGGATTGGGGCGGTGAACAGAAATGATGATAAAGTATAGCGAAGTGGTAAAGCAGTCTAATATATTGAAAGAGATATCTAGGATTTATAGCTCAGTGTTTTTCTGTTGGGCTAGTAATCACAGATCCTTAATCTGTATGATACATTAGCCATATTGTGAAAGTGCTGCACGTAAACAATGCTTTAGTAATGCTTTTAAGAAACTAGACAATTACTTGGGAGCAGCAATTTGTGGACAATTTTTACACAGTGGTGAGACAAACCAGACAAACCAGACAAACCAGAAATAATGGGGAAGGGCAGGCATTTAGGGTGGCACATTGGCTCAGTGGTTAGCACTGCTACCTTGCTGTGCCACAGACCCAGTTTGATTCCAGTTCGGGTGACTGTCTGTGTAGAGTTTGTACATTCTCCCCGTGTCTGTGTGGGTTTCCTCTGGGTACTCCAGTTTTGTCCCACAGTCCAAAGATGTGCAATTTAGGTGGATTGGCCATGCTAAATTGCCCAGAGTGTCCAGGGATGTGCAGGCTAGATGGGTTAATCATGGAAAATGTGGGGTTATAAGGATACGATGGGGCTGGCTCTGAGTGAGATGCTCTTCCGAAGGTTGGTACAGACTTGGTTGGCCGAATGGCCTCTTTTGCACTGTAGCGATTTTATGATTCAATCTAGTGCAAACCTAACTGCATTTAATGTGGTTAAAGATTGCTCTTGATATAGAACTTGGAAATGATGTTAAGAGACAACTAGCTCAAAGACCACATTAAGTTTAAACAGCTCTTGACCAAGTTAACATCAACAACAGTCACATTCTATTTAAATATTTAGCAGGCTGAAAGCAAGGTTTTTTTTTAAAAGAAGACCTCCCCTTCATTAACCAAGATTTCCTCCTATCTGTTTCTATTGCGGCATAACTACTTAAACATGATATTCTCAGGCGTATTTTGCATATCTTCTCAGCCAGCCCAGTGTTAAACTGTTCAACTCATGAAAGGAATATATCTCATTGCAACATTGTAGAAAGTTTAAGCCAGTCCGACTGACAGTATTTTCACAATTCCAGTCAAACCAACAAGAAATTGAACAACAAAGCTATAAAAAAGTTGTGGATCAGAAAAAGGCCATTCAACCCATGAACTCTGTGCTGGCTGAAAACCAAACGATCTGTCTGTTCTCATTCCACTTTCCAGGACCTGGTTCATAGCCCTGTAGGTTACACTGCTTCAGTAACAAATCCAGGTTCCTTTTAAAACTGGTTGAGGGTTTCTGCCTCAACCACCAAACTGATGTGTATTCCAGACACCCACCAGTCTCTGCATGAAAAAATATTTCCTCATGTCCCCCACCTACCAATCACCTTAAAACTGTATCCCCTAGTCATTGACCCCTTTGCTAGGGATATCTATGCTATCCAAGCCCCTCATTATTTTGTACACTGGAATAAATGACTTAACCAGTGTCTTGTGTAGTTCTAGCATTACATGCTAACTTTTGATTTCAATATCTCATCCAATAAAGGAAGGAATTTCATATGATTTCTTTATTACCTCTTCCGCCTGACCTGCTACTTCAGGGAGCCAACACTGAACCTGTGGTGCACCACTGGAAGCCTCTTTCCATTTGTAAAAACACCCAGAAACCATTACCCTTTGTTTCCTGTCGCTGAGCCAATTTTAGATCCAACTCGCTATGTTTCCTTTACTTTCTGATCATTCTGTCAATTGCTTTACTAAAGTCCATATAGACAACATGCATTGAATCATACAGCAAGCACATGGACCCTTCTGTCCAACTTGTCTGCACCGACCAGACATCCCAATCTGATCTGGTCCCATTTGCCAACATTTGTCCCAAATAAACTGCACTATCTTCATCAATCCTCCTTGTTACTTCCTGAAAAAGCTCAATTAAGTCAGTAAGACATCATTTTTGTTTAACAAAACTATGTTGGTTATTCCTGATTAATCTGTACCTTTTTACATTACAATTTATTCTGACCATCAGAATTGACTTTTAATAATTTTCCCACCATTGTAAGATCAGACTGATCAGCCTGCATTTATTTAGCTATCTCTCCTACCCTTTTTTAAATAATGGTAGAACTTTCACAGACCTTCAATCCTCTGGTAACTTGTCTATATCAGTGAGGATTGGAAAGTGATCCTCGGAGCATCCAGTATTTGTTCCCTAGATTCCCTAAATAGCTGAGGATACAAGTCATCTAACCCTGGTGATTTATCTACCTACAGGGTCAGCCCCTCCAGCACTTCCCTTCTCTATAATGCTTATTTTATTTCATATTTCACACTCTTCCTCTGTTGTAATTGCTGCCTGAACCTCTGATGCATCATACTTTTGTATATTAACATGCAATATTTGTACAACCATTTCCCTTTCCAGACTTTTTTATTACTTGCTTTGAGATCTGTCTGAACTAGGCTGCCAGATCAGCGAAAGACAACAGCAAGCCAATCCATTCAAGGGCAATTAGCGATGATATTGCCAATGGCACCCACGACCCAGGAAAGAATGACGAAAAAGAAAGTTTAGAGAAGCAATGTGTGATTTAATTGGTAGCAAATGTCGAACAGCTTTAATACAACAATCTCTAAGCATGGATTTGTTTTTTAGAAAAAATAGTTCGATTTCGGGAGAATGCTGTCATCCAAGTTGATGACAATAGCAGAGAGGCACACCAAGCCAATGGCATTTGTTCAGAAAATGGTAATCCTCATCCAGAGCTTGGGATCTCTCAATTGGACACAATAGAGGAAACCATGAGGACACTGCAACTTCAGGAAAATCCCTCAAAGTTTCATGACATTACAGGTATGTGAAGACAAGAATTGTTTTCAGGGTGAAGTGTTTTGACCTGGAGTGTACTGCCTGAAAAAGCAGTGGAAGCAAAATCAACAGGAACTCTCAAAAACGAGTTGGATAAATGCCTCAGAATACAATTGCTGGGCCATGAGAAAAGAGACTGATCTGGAAAGGTCTTTACTTGGAATGGAAGCAGGCATGAGGCCAAATGGCTTCCTGCTGTACATAGCTTTGGACTGATCTTAATTTTCAAAAAGAGGTGGATTTGGCTTCAGCGAGCAGTTATAAAATTAAAATCACTGAAACTGAATCTTGACACAGTAAATCTGCTATGTGTGTGATTTCAATGGAAGAAGGAGAGAGGGCAGTGACAGATTGGTTATTTCTGGGGCACCATGCCCCATCCTTGCAGCAGCAATAATATTTTTAACCAGTTATTCTGTACATGGCAGTTACTAGGCTCTAGTCAGAACTAAAGAACACAAAAACCCATCTTTGTTTGCAGCCCAACAGGGAGATTTTATTGCATAAAGTGTGTACTCTGCACTAGCTCAAAACTAGTCTGAGCAAGCTCACAAACCTGGCTGATGATTCACCAGTGTCACATGACTCACCTGTTAAAGGGACACTATCCCAACATAACATATACCAACTATAATACAATGGGTTGAACCTTGAGTTCTGAGGAAGGGTCACAGGACCCGAAACGTTAATTCTGTTTTCTCCTTCACAGATGCTGCCAGATCTGCTGAGCTTTTCCAGCAACTTTGTTTTTGATACCAACTATAATACATACTGACCATCTGCTGGGTTTCTATTGCCTTGAGAAACCCATCGGATAAAAGGAAGTGAGAAGGGCTGCGTCTATGAGGTGTAAGTTCTTTTACAGAAAAGCTAGTCTACCAGGTGGAGCACCAGTGTTTTCTCTAAGCCCAACATGCTTGTTTGTAAGATTCACACTTTTCCCCCAATCCACTCTCCTCCGTGATCCCCAAGGCCACAATCATGCCTCGGTTTCAGTTACAAAAAAGTCCTTTAAGATGTTGGTGTTGTATCATTATTGATGCATTGTAACCTCTCCAGTCTGGAATGTTTAGGACCACCAACAACTGGGAGGTGGAAGACATCATAGATCTGAATATTTATTCGAAGTTTACAGCAATGATAGTGTTGAAAAGCAATCATAAAAAGTGTCTTACTTGAGCAAATGCTGTACTTTCCTAGTTTCAGCTGAAAAGCTCAAATGATGCAACAAGTTGCTTGAGTCAGTTACTGTGCAAAACATTTCCAGACAACAGGATGTTATAATCAGTAATACACTGTACTTATGGCTCTATAAAGAAACAAAGTTTATGATTTATGTCTGCCCCCACTCTTGCTACAGGAGAATGTCACTGTCCCAGGGTCAGTTTTTAACGTGCACTCAAAGATCATTAATTCAAGCTCAACTGCAAAAAACTAAAAATTTTTCCCCTGCATCTTTAAATTGTGTTTTTATGCGAACTGTATTTCCTGAAATCCTCATGGTGTCAGTAAATCATGAAATATTTGCAAGAGTTTCTTGGCATTTAAAAGAGTTCACCATTCTGCAAGGAAACAATTCTAACTGAGGCTCCCATTGTTTTCACGACAAACTCCCTGAGAGTCCATTTGGTCAGGAAGTCAAAGGTTCTCCGTGTGAAGATTACATTCAGTTCTTTAGCTGCCCTCGCATTTTCTTTTACAAAATGCCTGTCAAGTTATTAGTGCCTTATGTCCTGAGCAGTTGTGAGGCTTGGGAAATTAGTTGCAGATGCTTGGATTTTTAATTTGATATTAAAACTGTGTAGCCCAAGAATTCTTGTGGTGCGGTGGCAGTGTCTTTGAGCTGGGATGCCCAGGTACAAGTACCACCTGCTCCAGAGGTGTGTAGTTATGTCTCCGAACAGGTTCACATAGAAAATATAAAATAAGATTAAAACCACAGCTTGTCACTTTGAAGCCAGTTTTCTTGATTTGATTGGAAATCAGTATGGTCCTGACTGGTGTCTTAATCTTGTTTGACTTTCAAAAGGCCATACCGCAGAAGGGAAATTAAATCTAATACACACTGGACGTGAAATTTCAAACTTAATGTTGTAGACTTTTGGGCATTTGTTGCTTAATGTCAATTTTGATTTTTGGCAAATTTCGACTTCTGATTTTCAGACAGTGCTAGCAACAATTACACAGTGGAAGTAGCTGATCCAAATCACTTGACAAGCGATTCAGAAAGTGAAGTGTTCTGTGATTCTGTGGAAGAACTGGACCACGAGAGGGTAAGTTTTAAATACATGTTTTCACCTTTTATAAGAGCTTAAAATCGAAAATTATTTGCAAAGTTAAAAGAAGACAAATTGATGGTTCGGTAATACCACTCACCACAGTGCCAACCTACAGAGCCAGGAATTGGCATCTTACCTGTACATCCTATTGTGCCCACAAATGGGAGTGATGTTCTTCATGAGCTCTGTTGCAAAGTCAGGAACTTGGGGTGGAGATGTTGCGTAGCTAGGATGTGAATTTTGCACGTACCCCAACAAGAGATAATTCTCAGCTTTAAAAAAACTGAAAGAACTGCAGATGCTGGAAATCCGAAACAAAAACAGAAATTGCTGGAAAAGCTCAGCTGGACTGACAGCGTCTGTGGAGAGAAAGCAGAGTCAGTGCTTCGGGTCCAGTTACCCTTTGTGTTTCCAGGTTTGTTGCTTTGAAGAAAGGGGACATTGGAGAGTGTGCCAAACATGTGCTGATCATGCATGTTAATAAGTGCTTTATAGCAGTGTTGTAGTGGGATATGAAAAAACTTTTTCTCATTAATTCATAGGGCAAGGGTAACGTTTAACGCGCATTCTTAATTGTCTTTTAAGAAGGTAGTGATGAGCTGTCTTGACAATGGATTGGCTTGCTACACCATTTCAGAGAGCAGTTAAAAGTCAACGGTTTTGTTCTAGGTCTGTAGTTACATCCAGGTCAGATCAGGTAGGACATTACTGAAACAGCATTACAATAATCTGGTAGTTATGCAGGCTTCACTGGCTTTTTTCTTAAGAGAAAATTGATTTTAAATTCCCCAGCTGCTGTGTTTGGATTTGAACTCATGAATCTGGAGCATTTGCCACTCCTACAATAAACTGTTATGCCATTCTGCCTAAATTACATAAAGTTTCTATATAATCATCAAGGTGCAATTTTAACCAACTAATGAGTTCTAAACTTGTTAAGATTATGGGCCTCAGCATTTAAAAGTTGGACCAAGAAATGGTAGCAATGGCTACTCGGAGGAGCTGAAGCAAAGGATGTGATATCTGTTTTAAAGGCCTGGGTGTAATTACTGTCCCATGTTGTCATTTTTACAGAGACAACAAGGTGTAGAGCTGGATGAACACAGCAGGCCAAGCAGCATCATAGGAGCAGAGAGGCTGATGTTTCGGGCCTAGACCCGTCATCAGAAATGGGGGAGGGGAAGGGGGTTCTGAAATAAATAGGGAGAGAGTGGGAGGCAGATAGAAGAGGGATGGAGGAGAGGATAGGTGGAGAGGAAACAAACAGGTCGAAGAGGTGGGGATGGAGCCAGTAAAGGTGAGTGTGGGTGGGGAGTTAGGGAGGGGATAGGTCAGTCCAGGGAGGACGGACAGGTCAAGGGGGCGGGATGAGATTGGTCGATAGGAGATGGAGGTGAGGCTTGAGGTGGGAGGAGGGGATAGGTGGGAGGAAGAACAGGTTAGGGAGGCTGGGACGAGCTGGACTAGTTTTGGGATGCGGTAGGGGGAGGGGAGATTTTAAAACTTGCGAAATCCACATTGATACCATTGGGCTGCAGGGTTCCCAAGCGGAATATGAGTTGCTGTTCCTGTAACCTTCGGGTGGCATCGTTGTGGCACTGCAGGAGGCCCAGGATGGACATGTCGTCTGAGGAATGGGAGGGGGAGTTGAAATGGTTCGCGACTGGGAGGTGCAGTTGTTTGTTGCGAACCGAGCGTAGGTGTTCTGCAAAGCGGTCCCCGAGTCTCCGCTTGGTTTCCCCGATGTAGAGGAAGCCACACCGGGTACAGCGGATGCAGTATACCACATTGGCAGATGTGCAGGTGAACATCTGCTTGATGTGGAAAGTCTTCTTGGGGCCTGGGATGGGGGTGAGGGAGGAGGTATGGGGGCAGGTGTAGCACTTCCTGCGGTTGCAGGGAAAAGTGCCGGGTGTGGTGGAGCTGGAGGGGAGTGTGGAGTGAACAAGGGAGTCACGGAGAGAGTGGTCCCTCTGGAAAGCAGATAAGGGTGGGGAGGGAAAGATGTCTTTGGTGGTGGGGTCGGATTGCAGATGGCGGAAGTGTCGGAGGATGATGCGTTGGATCCAGAGGTTGGTGGGGTGGTACGTGAGGACGAGGGGGATTCTTTTTTGGTTCTTATTGCGTGGACGGGGTGTGAGGGATGAGGTGCGGGAGATGTGGGAGACACGGTTGAGGGCGTTCTCGACCACCGAGGGGGGGAAGTTACGTCCTTGAAAAACGAGGACAACTGAGATGTACGGGAGTGGAATGCCTCATCCTGGGAGCAGATGCGGCGGAGGCGAAGGAATTGGAAATAGGGGATAGCATTTTTGCAGGAAGGTGGGTGGGAGGAGGAGTATCCTAGGTAGCTGTGGGAGTCGGTGGGCTTGAAATGAATATCGGTTTCTAGGTGTTTGCCCGATATGGAGACAGAGAGGTCCAGGAAGGGGAGAGAGGTGTCAGAGATGGTCCAGGTAAACTTAAGGTTGGGGTGGAAGGTGTTAGTGAAGTGGATGAACTGTTCGAGCTCCTCGTGGGAGCACGACGCGGCGCCGATACAGTCATCAATGTAACGGAGGAAGAGGTGGAGTTTAGGGCCGGTGTAGGTACGGAAGAGGGATTGTTCCACGTAACCTACAAAGAGGCAGGTGTAGCTTGGGCCCATGCAGGTACCCATGGCCACCCCCTTTGTCTGTAGGAAGTGGGAGGAATTGAAAGAGAAGTTGTTGAGTGTGAGGACGAGTTCGGCTAAGCGGATAACGGTATCAGTGGAGGGGGACTGGTCGGGCCTGCGGGACAGGAAGAAGCGTAACTCCCCACCTACACTCACCTTTACTGGCTCCATCCCCGCCTCTTCGACCTGTTTGTTTCCTCTCCACCTATCCTCTCCTCTATCCATCTTCTATCCGCCCCCCACTCTCTCCCTATTTATTTCAGAACCCCCTTCCCCTCCCCCTTTTCTGATGAAGGGTCTAGGCCCAAAACGTCAGCCTCTCTGCTCCTATGATGCTGCTTGGCCTGCTGTGTTCATCCAGCCCTGCACCTTGTTGTCTCGGATCCTCCAGCATCTGCAGTTCCTACTATCTCTTGTCATTTTTACTGCAGCTCTATTTCCCTCCTTGTGCATATTTCTGCAATAGTCACTAGAGGGAGCAACTTGCTATGGTTGAATACAACCTTCAGAGAATAAACACACGAAGCCCTTCTTTCTGTATATGCTACACACAATACCCTATCATGAGTGCTGTCCATCAAATGAATGTCCTTGGGGGAAGCAACAAACTACAAATAAATCTCCCCAATAACAGTCTGAAATTCTTCACTCGCCCCTCCAAAATCCTCCTGAATATTAAACAAGTTTAAAAATTTCATTTACACCTAAAGGATATTAAGAATAGCATCTCTGGTTGGTGAAGCTGATATTTGCTGCTCAAACTTACACCTGTGTCTTTATAACCCTTAGACTTGTCTATTCCAACACTCCCCTCCTTCCCCTCGCCTCACATCTTGCACTACAGACTTCAGCTGGTTAAACATTTTGCTTCCAGCATCCTTCTCCTGTACCAAGTTCTGTTCACCCATCATCCCTGTGCTTGCCGACTTACATTCAGCCCTCAATCCAACAATACTTCAATTTTAAGAAGCCAATTCTTTGTTTTCAACTTGCTCTGCAACCTCAACCTCCCCTTTGTCTGTTGTAACGATACTACAGCTTTAAAAGGTTATTTTTTCCTGGTATTTTTTATGAAGAAAGGTTGAGACAGAGGAGTTGAGCAGTCTGCTCAAAGCTAGTACAATAAACTGCTTGTGAGGCCTTGGTATTTTTTTTAAACTTGGAACAATAGAAACAGCCTGAATGGGATTCCATTCCAATGGAACCAGGATTTTTAGTTTTAGCTTTCAGCAGCTGCTGGGATTTTGAAGCTGGATGTGGAAGCTCTTGTTCCCCTCTCTGTTATGGTTAAAAGCTAGTTGACTATGAGAATGTGGTTGTTAACCTGGGCCAATCAGGAGGCACTGGCTGACCAATATTAACAGGGGATTTAGAATCTCCTCAGTTCATGGGACTGACTCCGAGCTGGCCGATCACAGCCAGTGTACTGTGCACAGGTAAATAAAGGGTGACTTGGTGATGGGATACCTACCTTTGTGCAGTTATTTCAGAGACAATCTATTTTACTGAATTTATCTTTGTCAAGGGTGTGTTGGTGAGATGTTACCATATTGGAATAGTTAATTTGGAGTAGTTAATATATTTATTATTTTGGACCTTACACTTAGCTTTAAAGCAGGAAAACTTTAGATTATAGACTTATAGCTGCTTATTTTGAGGAGGTTTGATCTAGTCCATAACACTGTTATTTCCTCCATTCCTATAAACCCCCAAAAGTCTCTGTGCTCTTCCACTGGCATCTAGCGCATGCCTGATGTTAATAACTCTAGTTTTGCTGGCTCACCTTCAGCTACCAAAGCGCCATGATCTGGCATTCTTTCACTGAACCTCTCTCCCTCTCATAGAGTCATAGAGTCACACAGCACAGAAACAGACCCTTCGGTCAACTCATCCATGCCGACCAGATATCCTAAACTGAACCAGTTCAGTTTACCAGCATTTGGCCCATATCCCTCTAAACCCTTCCTATTCATGTACCCAACCAGATGCCTTTTTAAATGTTGTAATTGTACCTGCCTCCTCCATCTCTTCTGGCAGCTTTTCCCATACACGCACCACCCTCTGTATGGAAAGAATTGCCCCTTAGGTCCCTTTGAAATCTTTCCCCTCTCACCTTAAACCAATGCCCTCTAATTTTGGACTCCCCTACTCTGGGGAAAAGACCTTGGCTATTCACCCTATCCATGCCCCTCATGATTTTATAAACCGCTATAAGGTCATCCCTCAACCTCTGATGCTCCAGGGAGAATAGCCCCAGCCTATTCAGCTTCTCCCTGTAGCTCAAATCCTAGCAACATCCTTGTAAATCTTTTCTGAACCCTTCTGAACATCTTTCCTATAGCACGGAGACTAGAATTGAATGGAGTATTCCGAAAGTGGCTTAACCAATGTCCTGTAATGCCGCAACATGACTTCCCAACTCCTATACTCAACGCAATGACCAATGGAGGCAAGTGTACCTAAAGCCGCCTTCACCACCTTGTCTACTTGTGACTCCACCCTCATGGAACTCTGAACTTGCACCCTCAGGTCCCTTTGTTTGGCAACACTCTCCAGGGACCCTACGATTAACTGTACAAGGCCTGCCCTGATTTGCCTTCTCAAACACCTCACAGTTATCGAAATCAAAGTCTCCTCCTCTGTCCCTTCCTTTAAACCTTGAACCTGTCTCCTTCCTAGTCGTTTCTGATGTGGCCCAGGGTCTCCTGTGAAGTGCTTTTGGATGTTTTGCGACAGTAAAGGGGCTACACAATGCAAGTTGTTGTTGAAATGAATTTTTCAAATGACAGGGTAATATAATAAAAGTATTTAATGTAATGAAAGAATTGGACAGGGGTGGAGATGGTGGGTACCAATGATGTAAAATTAAATGCAAGGAAATCACAGCAGAGTATTACAGAAATTCATTACAGGGGAGATGGTGTTCACGTCAATAGAACAGTCACCCAACGCTCCATCTAATAACCAGGGAACATGGGTTAAAATCTCCTTTGGTGAAAATTGAATCTAATTAGTTGATAAATATTGAATTGAAAACTAATCTCATTAAAGGAACTGTTATTGATTGGTGAACCAGATGGGATTTTCAACAATGTTCTTTGGGCAAGGAAATCTGCTGACCCTTCCCCAATTTGGCTTAGGTGTCATTCCAGATCCAGACTAATGGGTCATCTCTGAATTGCCCTTCAAAATAGCCTCGCAACCAATTCAATTCAATTAATGGTGGGCAACAAATGTTGGACTTGCATCCTGGCAAGGCTGTGGAAACCCAGTCCTGATGAAGGGTGTAAACCCAAAATGTCGACTCTCCTGCTCCTCTGATGCTGCCTGGCCTGCTGTGTTCCTTCCGCTCCACACTGTGTTGACTCTGACTCCAGCATCTGTAGTTCTTACTATCTTCCAGTCGCTGAAAATCCTACTGCGAAGTTTCTTCTAAGGATGCCCACCTTGAAGAAGTTGTCCTGCTCCCTTTGAAAAGATCTCAGTGGATCTCTTTTCCACTGCCACCCACTGGTGATCTCTGCCCTGAAGCTCTTTGATCACATACTGAAACAAACCTGTTACTACAGCCTTGTCTCCCTCCTCAGTACCTGCCTACACTGCTGGCTCATCCCTCATGGACTCCAAACAACGTTCAGACCATCCCAATTTGGACCAAACTGCGACAACCATTATCTACAGTACATCCAGAGCTTCCAGAAACGGTTTTCTCTGGGGATCCTCAGCTCCATGCTGGCAGCCATGTTGCTGGTATCTTCTCTCACTACAGTCAGCCCTACCCCAGCTCAGAGCCTGTCTTTCCCAGACTCGTGAAGGACCTACACAGGATCCACACCCTCAACAAATGCTTTTTCTCCACTCTATGAGCCCGGTCCTGATGAAGGGTGTAAACCTGAAACGTTGACTTTCTTGCTCCTCTGACGCTGCCTGACCTGCTGTGTTCTTCCTGCTCCACACTGTGTTGAGTTTGTGGAATTGACTTCTGAGGTTAGTGGTTGGGACAGAAACAGCGTGAACGTTGATTAGCTGAAGGAAAGGAGGATATGGATCAGGGTCGGTAAGTGTGCTAATCACAGACGTGGCTGTTATTAATGTCATATTAAAAGGTAAGTTGTCTCAAACCATTCTTATCCTAACACATAGCCACCTGCCATCCTAGCCACAGGTAGGCCATTGCGTAGGGCAAATCTTTCAAGTGCTGATAAACATGAAAGGAAAGGGAGCTATAAAAAGGCTCAATCAGACTGTCAACTACTGTCCTTCCAGAAGGCCTAGTATAATTTGTCCAGTAATGGCATCTCTCCAGTTCATTTAATCCCCTGACAAAGCTAACTAAACAGAACTAAAACATCAAAGGCGAGAGATTGCTGTCAATTCCTTCCCTGATCCCTGAAGTTAATCACAAAAGGCTGGTCTAGCGATAATCTTTGTGTTTTGTTTGTGTCTTCCAGATTTTGGCAATTCAGAGCAGCAGGACTGTTGCAGAGCATTCCCAAGATCCATTGAATTTACAGGATGTTGAGTCTACAGAATCGTTCTGCAGTGCTAAAGTTTCCGCTTGTAGGCCAGATGCTTACCTTTACAGGTGTGACAATTTACCTGCAAACCAAGAGACATATGCATGGGCAACAGATGGAGGAGGAGGGAACAATAAGGAGAAAAAGATAACATTTACAAATCCATCGTCTAGATCTGAATGGCTAACTGAGGGGAAAGGTATGTATATGTGAAGAGCTGTCCGATCAGCATTGTGATGGAGGCAATGACCTGGAACTTATTAACAATGTGGGATTTGTAATGATAACCGATAGGATTGATTTGTTGCAAGTAAAAATTTAGATTTGTTGCAAGTACCTGCTCCGTTCACTGGGATCTTTCTCTTTTTAATAGTCTGGTCAGCTTTATCTTCACCAAGCCTGACTGCCACTCCCCCATACCTGATGGCTTGGGAGCGGGACCTTGGTATATGACAGTGAAGCCCCCAACTGAACTGGACCAGAAATCAATAACAACTTGCATTTATATAACACCTTTAGTGTAGTAAAATATCCCAAGGTGCTTTGTAGGAGTTTTACAAAGTAGAACTTCACACATACGGAGATATTAGGACAAAAGATTTGTTAAAGTGGTTGTTTTTATGGAGCATCTTAGAGAAGGAAAGAGAGGCAAACAAGTTTAAGGAATGAATTCGAGAGTTCAGATTTTGGCTGCTGAAGGAATGGCCATCACATGGTTCATTTTTAACACTTCTGTAATTTTCCTCAACTTTTCGATCTATATTTTTGAGGATTGACTATTGAATATTTACTTTAAGCCCAGTGACTCCCACAGTTATCTTCAATACAGTCCCACTTCCGGCAGAATCTCTATTCCACTGACTCAGACTCACCTTCCCTATTTCATTTGTGCTGATGACATGTTCTCATATGTCTTCCATTTTACCAAGCTTGTTATGGTTCTTGACCACATCATCCAATTTTCTACATTTGTGCTCTCAAATCTTCCTTACCATCCAAAACCACTAGATGGCTCCAATCCTCTTTCCTTCAACCCCAGCAGCACGCCCACCCCCATATTCAGCAGGTAGATGTCCTTTACCCCCAGATATCCTTCCATCCCCTTTAGATATTCTGAAAGAACTGTCCCCTCCATGACACCCTGATTCACTCTTCAGTCGCTTGTAACTACTGCTTCCCTTTTCACAACACTTTCCCTGGCAAACACAAGGAGATGCAAAGCTCTCCCTTTTGCTGCTCCTGTCTCATCCTCCCGAGCATGCAGAGTAATACGCGGGTAATTAGTACTAGATAATAGAACTGGTGCAGGCTGAATGGCCTCTTTCTGAAAACTGGGCAGCATGGGTAAGTTGGGTTGAAGGGCCTGTTTCCATGCTGTAGACCTCTATGGCAATTCTGTGACTTAAGGATGTTAAATGGAGGTGGGGACCATTGACATCCATGAGCATAGCATCATACTGTCGGATGAGGAAAAGTATCTAGTACCCATCCTGGCACCAACCCACTGCATTTTCAAGCGACACATTCCTATCAGCAATACACATTTGTGTCTTTCTATGTAATATACTGTATTTGCTACTTGCTGTATGGTCTTCTTTACAATGGGGAAGCCAAACTAAGATTGATTCTTTTACAAGTGCTCCGACTAACAGCAAATTATTCAAGTGTCAGAAGTTGTCCTGAAAATATCCAACACCGAGGTTTGTAACTAAATTAGGGCCACTCCACACTGGTGCTGAAAGTTCAATCTGTGGGATGTCATGTGTGAGTGTAACTGAGCGGGACTGTACTGGATATGCTTCTAAATGAGAAAAGGGCATTTTGATGAGCTACCAGAGGGCATCTGGGACTCTTCAGAACTATTTCCTGTCAGAAGTATGTCTTACAAAGAGAAGGAGAAAGAAATCGTAGTGAGTATGAACATCCCAGTTGCTAGGTTTGTGGATAACAGCAAGCTTTTGGCTAGTGTACATTAGGAGCCAGGCCAATGAACACTGTAACACCAGCTGTAACCACACTTTTAAGTATTTGGAAGGAATGTAATGTTACATTATAAGTAGGTTCCATATCATTGCTTCTTCAGTCTTCAGTGACACTCTTTGGTATTTGGTGAAACCTGACCCGCTTGTTTTTAATTTGCACTTGATCTCTGAAGCTGTACTCCATTGAACACAGCACAATTACTTGAGTGTTCTGTAACTTGCAGCCTCCCAGTATCAGATGGGACAAGTGTGCTGTCCCCTGCTTAGAGACACAGAACTTGTATCTTCTGGACTCACTTTATTGTTTTGTTTCCTGCTTGTATTGTGGTGGCAAAGGTCACAGAATGATGAAGTAATTGTGAAATGGTTCATTAAACAAGGCTTGGCCTATTCTTATTTCAACCTCCATTAAGACAGCAGAGAATTGCTGGGTGAAGGGATTGTTCTCCTGTGTTAAATTGTCCTGGGAGAAGAACACAACAATGAGACGAGCAACACAATTTTTTAAAATGACATCAATTGCACAGCGACTATAATATTACAATTGTTGTATTGAACATTACCGTTTAGGGTGAAAAATAAATTGAAACATCAAGCGGTAGCTTGGTTTTGCCATCAGGATTACAAGGGTTCATTTTTGCAGCAGTTTTTATAAAGGGAACCTGCAACGAAACATACAAGTAATAACAGTCCCTTTCAGTGGCATTTCAAACAAGAACAGTTGAGATTTTTATGTTTCACTGTATTACACTGCACCAAATTTAAAGATAAAGTTTACCGATCTGTTAGGGCAATGGGCTCAGGGTTGCTCACTTCGCTCAGTCATACATTGTTTCCCTTGTTTCGATTGGCTAACTGGCAGAAATCTGACTGAAGGCCATGTGTGTAGAACCCTACTTCAGACAAACTGCTGGAGTTGTATTTGCCCTAGTGATGGGTAAAAGTTGAGGAGGGGGTTGTGGGTGGATCCACATGTGGATGTCAGCCATGAGAATGGCTGACATACTGATCCCATGCCTGAAGTCACTGGAGCAGAACAGAAAGGTAGGAGCCCTACACAATGTGGCAATCATTATTGGGAAGGAGTGTTTTTTCTTTTAATTTGTTTCATTGTATGTGGGCATTGCTGTGATGTGGTCAGAATTTATTGCTCATCTCTAATCATCCTTGAGAGTGTGCTGGTGAGCAGCCTTTGTGAATCTGACCATGAGGAGTAAGTGCATGCACAGTGTTGCTGGGAAGGGAACCCAAAGGTATTGACCCAATGAAGGAGCAGTGATGTATATCAAGTCAGGCTGCTGAGTGGATTGTCGGGGACCTTGGAAGTGGTTGTGTTTTCATGCACCCCCTGCCGTTGTCCTTCTAGGGGTCTGGAATGACGAGTTTGGAAAGTGATGTTGAAGTAGGTGAGTTGTTGTAGTGGATATGCAGTGCTGCCACCAGTGGAGGGAGTGAACGTTGATGGTGGTGGATGTGGTGCCAGTCAAGTGCTGCTTGGTCCTAAATGTCGTCGATTTTCGTGAGTGATGTTGGAGCTGCATCCATCCGGGAAAGTGGGAAGTATAGCATCACCCTCCTGAGTTGTGCCATGTTGATAGTGGACAGGCTTCAGGGAGTCAGCAAATGAATAATGCATCAAAGAATTCCCAGCCTCCAACCTGTTCCTGCAGGCACAGGAGAGGCAGTGGTATATAATGGTAATGTCACCGGACTAGTTACAAATGCTGGTTGATCGCAGTGTCAATTACACCATCCATCACCTTCCTGAAGATCAAAAATCTAATATTGAAGTGGAAATTGGTCAGATTGAATTTGTCCTTTATTTCTGTGGGCAGGACATACCCTGGGGTAATTTTACACATTGCCAGCTAGGTGCCAGTTGTAACTACTGGAACAGCTTGGCTAGGGGCACTGCTAGTTTTGGAACACAAGCCTCAAGTACTATTTTTATAATGTTGTCAGGGCCAATAGCCTCTGCTGTGTCCAATGCATTCAGCTGTTTCTTTATATCACGTGGAATAAATTGAACTGGCTGAATATATCTGTGATGCTAGGAACCTCCAGTGGAGCCCAAGGTGTATCATCCACTTAACACTTAGCTCAAAATTACTGCAAATGCTTCATCTTGTCTTTTGCAGTGAGGGGCTGGGCATCCCCTTCATTGAGGATGATGGCATTTGTGGAGTCTCCTCCACTAGTAGCAAGTGCTGGTTGATGGTAGTGTCAGTCAAACCACTTTACCGATAATGGAAAGTTAAATGTTAAAATGGTAATTGGTCAGGTTGAATTTGTCCTGAAGAAGGGGTCACTGAACCTGAAACATTAACTCTGATTTCTCTCCACAGATGCTGCCAGATCTGAGCTTTCCGGCAATTTCTGTTTTTGTTTCTGATTTCCAGATTCTGCAGTTCGTTTGTTTTTTTTTGTTCCTTCACTAGTTAATTGTTTAGTTGTTCACTATCATTTGTGACTGGATGTGGCAAGATTGCAGAGTTAGATCTGATCCATCAATCATGAGATCACTTAGCCCCATCTATTGCGTGCTGCCTGTATTGATTGATATTCAAGACATCTGCTGTTGTAGCTTCATCAGGTCAATACTTCAGTTTTAGGTTTGCTTGTTGCTGGTCCTGGCATGACCCCCTGCACACTTCATTGAACCAGAGATAATCTCCTGACTTGTTGGTAATTATAGATTTGGGGTTGGCAGGAATTATGGTCCAATACAATTCTGCTTCTGGCCCTCAGCACGTCACGTCGGCCCAATCTTGAGTTGCTAGATCGATTTGCTTCCTGTTCCATTTAGCACGGGTGGCATGCTACAAGATTATTTGGGTACAATTCAGTCAATAATGCTTCTATTTCCATTTTAACAATGAGCACGAATTACGGCACCAATATGATTGAGCTTTGTGGGCGAACTCTTAGTACCTACAAGTTTAGCAGCTCAGGAACTGTTACTCAGTCCAACAGGTCCATGCTGATCTTAATGCTGCAGGTGAATCTATCCCCATCAACAAATTGTTATGTTCTTATCTAGCTTCCCCTTAAATACATCATTTATTCCTTATTGTAGCACGTTCCACATTTCATTCTGAAGATTCATACCAGATACAAAACATTAACCCAGTTACTCTCTCCATTGATACTGCCAGACGTATTTGTTTTCTCCAATATTCTCTGTTTGTTTCAAATTTCCAACATCTGCAGTATTTTG